AGTGGAGAGGGCTTATAACAATTTTAACATAAAGAAATTTAGTTTTTGGCTTTATATTATGGGCTTTACAAGGAAACTAAAAGTTGGCATCCTTGTTTGGATGGGGTTAGACTTGCCTCGTCTGGGGCTGGAGGAAAGTTAAGCAGGATTCAACAGCCATTTTCTGAAATGGAAGTTGTCAAGGCTTCCAGTCCTGCAATGAGGAGAAAGCCCCTGGTCCGGATAACTTTTCACAATTTGAGGGAGTTTTGTATTCTTGGGCACTGAGACACAATGGAAGAGTATGTCCTTCAACTTTTTTCAGGACTCAATGAATCTGGCCGTTTTGTTAAATCCAGCAATACTACTATATTTTCTTGATCCTCACAACTGCAGGGCAACTAGACTGAAATAGTTCATGTTCATCAGCCTTGTGGAATATATCTACACGCTTATCAAAAAGTGCTTGCTAAAAGGCTTAGCAGAGGTGCAACATGCTTTTGTAGGGTTGGGGGAGACAAACTCTTGATGCCTTCTTGATCGCTAATGAAATGGTTAACTCTTTCTTGTAGAATGGTGAGCATGATGTTTTATGTAAACTGACTATTGAGAAAGCTTTAACCGTCATTGATGGTCCTTCCTCCTCTATCTCCTTAAAAGGATGGGTTTTGGCCACATACAGTGTAAACCAATTGAGCACTGTCTTTCCTCCCCATCTTTTGCTGTCCTTATCAATGGTGAGCTAGGATTTTTTCAAGCTTTTTAGGGATTTAATGTATGGAGTTCCCTCTCTTTCTTTCTTATCCTAGTCATGGAAGCTTTTAATGTTTAATCCTAAGAGCCAGAGACGCAAATATAATTCACAGGCTTAGTGAGAGGATTGGGGTTAACTTTTTTTTTTGAACAAGATGGAAATCATCCATTTGACGCTTGTAGATGACATTCTTTTCCTTGAAGCAAGGAGAGATACCCTCGTCAACTTAAAATACAATATCATCCGCTTCCAGGTCTGTGTCCACTAACAAAATTAATTGGAGAAGACCTGAGATTGTTTGGGTGAGCCGAGGGATCAACGACATTGAGATTGCTCAATTTTTTGGTTGTAGAAACAATTCTTTCACCATGAAGTACCTTGGCCTCCTTCTAGGTACCAAGTAAAGAAAAAGCCTATTTGGGATTCATTGTGTGCGTTGGAAAGTGTATATGTGTCAGGAGCCTTAGATATAAATCATCAAGAAGTAGGAACTAGTGAGAAAGACAAAGAAAGAGAAAATATTGTTATGTTCCCTGATTAAGGATCGAGTTATCAAACGATTAATAACAAAGTCATCTTCTAGCAAAGAGTTAACACCCTTATTCTTATTGCAAATGTGATATATTATATGAAAATAAATTATAATTCATCAAAAAGAGCTCTATCTTGGATCTCGTTAGAAAGATCTCCAATCTTACAATTTGAGATATTATTCTGGTTTATCTTTATTAATAGTAAACATACTCTTTTATATAAAGATTAAAATTTTTATTTATAAATCTTACTTTAATTAATAATTTAAATCTAATTAAGAATACTTTACTAAAATATTAAAAAAATTTATACTATTTAGGAATCTAATATTAATAAAAAATCATATATTATTTAAAAATCTAATACTAATTAAAATTCTATGTTTACTATTTAGCAATCCAATATTAATGAAAAATCATTTATTATTTACGAATTCAATACTAATTAAGATTTTATATTTAATTGAACTATAAAATTCTATTATTTAGAAATCCAATACTAATTATGATTTCATATTTAATTAAACTTTAAACTCCTATTTAGGCCTCATACTCGCCCTCTGGTTTTCAAGTTCGCCCTCAAGCTTGAAATATGGATATAAATGCCTTGTCGGTCTTTTCTTGTTACTCAAACTAGAACAACCATTTACATTAGTGACCTAGTACAAACAGCTCATCACCTTTATAACACAACCCTTTCAATCTATTTTCTATCATCTCTGCCCTTATTAGGTTCTTCATAAATGGAGATGAAACATTAGCAAATTGTGTCGTAACGTTGCTACTCTGTGGAACCGGTATTTTTTAAACTTAATTGTTAGCCTTGATCACAGACTGAGAAAGGTCACTATAATTGTGTTCGCTCATATCTCACAACTGTTGTTTCCTTTCAAAAACTCTATCCATGCTCATTGCGTGCATGAGAGTGGTGAGCGATTGCACCTTGATCTCTAAATGGAGAAAATCAATCAGTCATGCTGCGAACAAATTGACTTGTTGATCATGGTGTACCGCACCGGCTCGGGCCAATAATCTTAAAAATTGTCATTGATACTCCTCAACCTAAACTTTTTGCTTAACTTTGACCAATTCGTCTAATGGATTGCTTTTCA